TTAGAAAAAAAAAATAATATGGTTAGTTGTTATTGGAATTTTGAATTAATATTAAATAATATTGAAGATAAAATAATTAAAGTTGATTTGATGTAAAAATAGGAGAAAAATTGTGTGAACGGATGATTAGTTAAAATTGTGTGAATGAATAAATAGTGAATTAAATTCGATATATTGTATAAGCATGATTGAGTGACATTATTTAAGAGAAAATTCTATTGCAGGACTTGACTTTTTGTTATTGTGTCACAATAGAGCATGGAATTTCAACTTTTTTATTTGAAGATTTCAATTTAAAATTATTTTTAATTAAAAGGTTTACTTTTGCATTCTAAGTTATCAATTTAAGACACCAACTAACTTTATATTTTACATAAATATGTAATAAAAAATACTAATATTTTGATTTATATTTTAAATAGTTATAAATATCTATTGTAAAATTACTTTAGTAAGAAAATTAATCATTTAAGCTAAATTAATTTTGCATAAATGTAACTTATTTGAATTATTTTTCTTACGAAACTAGTTTTACAAATATATTTAATACTTTGATTAAAGGTATTAAATTTATTATATTCTTAAATTTTTCAAAAATATAATTTTTATTCACAAATAATATTTTCTATAATTTTATTTTAAAAACATATCTTTCTAAATAGTCTATATTTTAATGTTATCACTTATTTGAAAAAAAAAATACTAAACAAAAACTAGTTGGTGAATTATTTTTTCGTTACATTAATCTAAATTTAACTAATATCTTAAGTGAATATTTTTTTTTTTTAATTTTTCGTGAACAATTCTCCATCGACTAGCTAGCTATAAGTACAAATTTATTTTTTCGTTACATTTATGTAAAATTAATATAGCTTAAATCAATTAATTTTCTTACTATAGTTATTTTACTAAAGATATTTATAATTTTTAAAAATTTAAATGTCAAAATAATATTTGGTTTACATATTTATATAAAAATATAAATTAGTTTTTTTTTCGCACATAATATAAAGTTAATTGATGTCTTAAATTGAGAACTAGAATGTCAAAGTAAATCTTTAATTGAGAATGACTTGATATTGAAACCCTCAAGGGAAAAAGTTGAAAATTCAGACCCTATTATAACACAATGACAAAAAGTGGAACCCTACAATAGAATTCCACTAATTAATAAAGTTAGAATATAAAAAAGTAAAACTAGAGTTCCTTAGAGCAACTTTAACAATATAAGGTTTATAAACCTTTTTTTTACATTCCCAATACTCCACATTCTCTTGCGTGATCAAACGAGAGGGAGAATGGTAATGGCGGCGACGGATTTGCGTGAGATAGGAGAGATCGAGTGATTTGAGCAGATTTCCCTTGTCTGCTGGGTTATGAGGTTAACGAGAGAGAGAGGAGAGATTAATTAGACTAGGGTTAATAGTCTTGTCTCACACAATACACACTCACACACATGCGCGGCATAGGAATAACCGGGTCGGGTTTTGGGCAGGGCGCCGGTTCATGCGGTTCTATCGGGCTCGATATATGTTTCGGCTCGTCAATTTAAAATAAAAATTGGATATTATAATATATATAATACACACAATTTAAGTAATAATAACA